TAATGCTGTGTCCACATAAGACAAACAGTACTGGTTAATAATGTTATGTCCACATAAGCCAGACAGTACTGGTTACTAATGTTATGTCCACATAAAACAGACAGTACTGTTTACTAATGTTATGTCTACATAAGACAAGTAGTACTTGTTACTAATGCTGTGTCCACATAAGACAAACAGTACTGGTTAATAATGTTATGTCCACATAAGACAGACAGTACTGGTTACTAATGTTATGTCCACATAAAACAGACAGTACTGGTTACTAATGTTACGTCCACATAAGACAAGTAGTACTTATTACTAATGTTATGTCCACATAAGACAAGTAGTACTTGTTACTAATGTTATGTCTACATAAGACAAGTAGTACTTGTTACTAATGCTGTGTCCACATAAGGCAGATGGTACTGGTTACTACCGTTATGTCTACATAAGACAGACAGTACTGGTTACTAATATTATGTTCACATAAGACAGATGGTACTGGTTAATAATGTTATGTCCACATAAGACAGACAGTACTGGTTACTAATGTTATGTCCACATAAAACAGACAGTACTGGTTACTAATGTTATGTCTACATAAGACAAGTAGTACTTGTTACTAATGCTGTGTCCACATAAGGCGGATGGTACTTGTTACTACCGTTATGTCTACATAAGACAGATGGTACTGGTTAATAATGTTATGTCCACATAACACAGACAGTACTGGTTACTAATGTTATGTCCACATAAAACAGACAGTACTGGTTACTAATGTTATGTCCACATAAGACAAACAGTATTGATTACTAATGCTGTGTCCATATAAGATAGACAGTACTGGTTACTAATGCTATGTCCACATAAGGCAGACAGTACTGGTTACTAATGCTGTGTCCACATAAGACAGACATTATTGATTACTAATGCTGTGTCCACATAAGACAGACAGTACTGGTTACTAATCCTATGTCCACATAAGGCAGATGGTACTGGTTACTAATGCTATGTCCACATAAAACAGACAGTACTTGTTACTAATGCTGTGTCCACATAAGACAGACAGTACTGGTTACTAATCCTATGTCCACATAAGACAGACAGTACTG